TATCGCATAAGGAGCAGTTTTTATTTTTTACCGAGACATATAGAAAAGATCTCTCGCATTTATCTTTCGATCTATATTCGAAGATGTTGATACATATCGGCCTCGGACACGTTGAGAGCTTCGTCGACCTAAAAAGGCGGGAGTTTCAAATTTTACCACGTTTCGCGCTTTCTTCTTATTTCGACCGAACGCTCGGACTCGACCAACGCTTATTATTACACATCGCGCCACGAAAAGAGGCCTAAAAACTTTCGTCTTGAAGAAAATGTTTCACGAGTCGATTTGATATTCCCGCTGTATCGTTGTTAAATCTACGGCTACCCAGTGAGAGACGATTTGTCGAAACGACGTCGAATCGACATCGATCGACGAGTCATTTCTCGCTGGGTAGAGAACGCTGTCGATATAAAACAAAAACCTCGTAAATATAATTCTTTTTCTTTTTGATAATACAAATCTAATATATTTTGCATTCGCACGTGACCGAGCGAAACAGCTATCCCATTCGAAAAGCAATTCTCCCCGAGATAAACTACCACGCTTAATGACTACCGTCAATTTCCGATTCGGTACTTAACACGTCAGCAGAAAAGAGACGGGTGAAACAATCCAGATAAAAATACCAGCAATTTTCGGTGCACCCGCGGGAATAGAATAAAAAAAAAAGAATACGTTCCAACGATTCCGACAGGTATATTACTAGTATCGTGTGCGTTTTGTAAACAACGAATTTTTTCGAACAAACTACTCATTTCCGCCGAAGGCTACGCAATACACTCTGCATCTGAGGATTATGGTTGTCGATAAGCGCGGCACGACGCGGTCGTGATAATTTTAGGTTCGCTTTAACGTTAGAAATAATTGACAGACGGCTATTGTCTCCTGCACCAAGCAAGCTACTTTCTCCTTCAATTTTCCGTTGTATAACGAACACGCGAGGAGGGTAGCGCACGACTCGCTTCATTCGTGGCAGGTGTAATTGACAGCAGTCGAGCGTAAATCGTTATCGCACCCCGTTGAAATGTTTTTCTACACGTGAGGTCTCTCAGAGACTGCGTTGCGTAAGAAACCGCAAGCAAGAGATAAGGTGGTCACGGTGCAGCCTAGCACGCGCGTCTCTCACGGCTTATCCCTTCCTGCGTTGCGTATCCGAAAATTCAGGCAGCTTAAGGCTGGTCTACAATACATGGAGTAAGCTGGAGTAAGGAGTAGGAATAAGGAAATAAATCGATTTTATTTCTTACTCCTACTTCAGCTCTTAGGCTTACTCCCGGTGAATCAAAATGCCATCAATCAGTGTTACAATTATTTTAAAAATCATGCCCGTATTTCAGCTTCCTTACACCAAAAGCTAGAAGTTAGGGCTCTCCCTTACTCCTTACTCCACGCTTACTCCACGTATTGTAGACCACGCATTAAGGCTGGTCTACAATACATGGAGTAA